GCAGGTATGGGGACTGAGATTGTCTCAGTCAGGTCAGCACTATAAGGATAACTGGCTTTGTCCTGTCTGAATTTGTTAATCACTTTCAGTATCAGAGGTGTTGGAAGAAACAAAGCAGATCCTTCGTCCAAAATGGATGACAGGCAGCCCACAAAGAGTTGTGGTCCAGTCCCCCTCTTCAGCAGAAAAGAAGGCATTTATTGTTCATGGAGGTGGTGAAGAGAGCCACCTCTGGCAGTCCCAATCCTTGGAATATATTGCCTAGCTCCCATTTGTAGTCCTGGGAGAAGCATCTACTGAGAACATCGGCTGCGGTGTTCTGAATACCTGGGAAGTAGATCTGATGAGTTATGCACCTATTTCATAGTTGCCTGACTTCGGTGCACAGGGAGGGAAGGATCTCGCTTCTCCTTGCTTGTTGATATAGAATATGCAAGATACATTGTCCGTTGTGACCCTGAGGAGGGGTAGGAAATGAAGGCAGATGCTCCTGACTGCCCTGAGTTCCCACAGACTGATGTGGAGATTGGTTTCCTGAGTTGTCCATCTGCTCTTAGTCATGAGGGCATTGAGGTGAGTTCCACATCCCAACAGTGATCCATGTGTTGTTATAGTCACTGATGGAGCTGGGCAAAAGAAAGGAATGCCTGCCCAGGAGCGGAGTTGATCTCTCCATCAGACTAGGGAATTCCTCATCTGTAGAGAAACCATCACATGCCAGTCCAAGGTTTGCCTGGCTAGAGAACAGGACATTCTGAGCCAACCCAGGAAGCAGCAGAGGCATAAGCCTTGTATGGTCGGTCACAAAGGTGCAAGATACCATGTGTCTCAGGAGCTGAAAACAGCAGCTTGTTGTGGTACAAGGGCTCCCCTGAATTGACCCTATCAGACTTGACAAAGTTACGAATCTGTCTAAGGGAAGTTAGGTGCTGGTTGTCAACAAGCCCAAAGATCCCCCTACAAACTATCTTCTGTACAGGAGTTAATGTGAATTTTTTTATATTCGGCTGGAGATCAGACCCCTGGAAAAGAGCAAAGGCCATTTGGGTGGAAGACAGCACTGCTTTGTAAGAATGCCCTTGAGTAGCCAGTCATTTAAGTATAGGAAGACTAGGATTGCTTCTCGTTGGAGGTAAGCAGCCACTATCCCCAGGATCTTTGAGAACACCATTGGGGCCAAAGAAAGGTCAAAGGGAAGCCCCAATATTGGAAATGATCCTGGCCTACAGTGAAATGTAGCTATTTTCTGGGAAACAGATGTATCATTATATGGAAATAGGCATCTTGTAGGTTAAGGGCCAAAACCCAATCCCCTTCCTCCATTGAAGGAATTATAGCTGCCAGAGTCACCATCCTGAACATCTGAGACTTTACAAACTTGTTCAGAAGTCTTAGATCCAAGATTGGTCTCCACCCTCCATCCTTCACTTGCACAAGGAAATACTTCAAGTAAAACCCTTATAAGGAGATATTGCTCCTAAATTGAAGGGGAATGCTCACTTCTTTTCTCAATAAAAGCTCATGAGAGAGGTCCCTGAAGAGAAATGGGGAAGAAAATGAAGGGAGCAAGGGATGTAAAGTGGATGCTATAACCCACTTGTCTGTAGTGATCAACCCCCAAGCATGCTGGAAATGGGAAAGACAGTCTTCAAAGGGGGTAGGGGGGAGAGAAGGGAAGGTGAGCAAATGGATGCAGCTGTAAAACCAGAGGTGAGAGGATTTGAACCCTCCAAGCAACCTGTCAAAACTGTTGCTTTGAAGATGATTGGGTGGTGGTGGAGGGCGGGTGAGCAGCTCCCTTTTTCTGGACTGTATGTCTTCGGTGGATCTATGGAATCCAGAGAACTGAGCATGACGCGATCTCTGGGAAGCCTACTAAATCTTCTCTTATTTGTAGGAATATATATGCCCAGGGATCGTAAAGTAGCCTTAGTCCTTCTTAGTGCATGCAAGGACTCATCCATGGTCTCCGAGAAAAGTTTACAACCATCGAAAGGGAGGGCTCATCAGCGTTCTGGACTTCTCTCAGAAACCCTAAGAGTTGGAGTCATGATCCCCTCCACATAACTACCACTGTGGAGATGGACCTGGCAGGAATGTCCATAGCATCCAAAGATGCTTTAAGAGCAGTTCTGGCCAATGACTGGCCCTCTAAGATGATGGATTGAAATTGCTCCCTCTGTTCCTGTGGCAGATGTTCAATAAAGGCTAGTTTGTAAAGTTAGATTTGGCCATGATTGTCTGATAGTTTGTGATTCTGAACTGTAGTGGTGTTGATGAGCAGAACTTTTGTCCAAAATGGTCCAGTTTCTTTTGGTCTTTGTTATATTGGGTAAACTTTGTTATAAGGAGTTTTGCTTACCTTGCTCGTTTACTGCGCCCACCACCAGAGAGTTAGGCAGAGGGCACGAGAACAAGAAATCAGAGTCCATAGGGGGACCATAACACTTTTTATCCACCGATTTACATGATGGTGGAATGATATCATGTGTTTACCATACAGTCTTCGCTGGATCCAGGAGCACCTTGTTAGTGAGTAATACCACCATGGAGGTGTTGCTGACTGCAGGCTATCCAGTTTGTGCTGCGAGTCCTTGACCTCTTAAAGGAATCTGAAGTGTGTCAGATACCCTCTTTATGAGATCTTGAAATTCCCCAAAAATCATTGACCATGGAAAGTGGCGGAGGCATAGCCGCCTCATCTGGAGAGAAGGATGAAATAGGTATTTGAGAGTGGGATAAACATGCTCCTCAAACATCTCCTCCTGTGGGAGGAGAGGACTGTAGGATTCTAGCCTCCCTATGAGACGGTACCAGTGGTCTGGCAAATTGCTGATAACAAAAATCTGTCACACTGGGGCTGCTTATTATTAATTTGCTTGAGGCATTAGGTGATTAGGCTGAGGCTGCAGGATTGTTAGGGGAGGAGATGAAGGAGCACACCCAGTGACTACATTTTAAAGCTTTATTAATAAAATAACAGCGGTGAGTGCTGGGAACGCTTTTACATTACTTGGAGGAAGAAAAAGCGTTAGTGCCCCAACCCTAACCCATTTTCATACTCACACATGCACGACCAGAGGCTGGCCAAGCCTGGGTGTAACATAAGAAGAGGGGGAAGGGTGGACGATTTGTGCACAGGCCATTTAGGGTTTGCTGTTGATTTTTTAATTTGATTTGGCTTTTAGGAGGGTTTTTAAGTTTTTTGGGGGGGGAGGGGAGGGGAGGCATTTTGTTTAGGGACGTTTGTTTTTTCTGTTTTTTGTTTTAGTTTAAACCGGCTTTTTGCAGCTTTTTTAAAAACACACCGGCTTTAGGGACACAAAACTTTGTGGGGGTTTTTTTGCTGGCTTTTGCTGTTTTACTAGTTTTTGTAGCCTTCGCAGTTTTGCTTAGCTTAGATTTTTTTTTTTTTTAATGCCTGATTGGGGTTGAAATTTAGGCTTTTGGTTTTTTTTGGCAGGTAGCCAAGAGTTGGTTGTGTGCAGTGGCCTTGGGCTGAAGTTAGCCTTTTATTTTTGGACCAAGCTGGAGCATTGAGTCAACCCATTCCCTTCTCTTTTTTTTTTTTTTTTTTTTGGCCTTTTGCAACCTGCAAAGGAACCTTTTACTTTACACTTACA